TCTCTCTCTCTCTCTCTCTCTCTCTCTCTCTCTCTCTCTCTCTCTCTGTCTCTCTCCCCTCTCCCCCTCCCTCTTTTCTGCTCGGGACTGAACTCAGGACCTTTGCACTGAGCTACATCCTCAGTTCTTTTTTTAAACTTTTGAGACAGGGTCTCTCTGAGTCACTAAATTAAACAGATTGATCTTGAATTAGCAGTCACCTGCCTCCACTTACCAGAGTGCTGGGATTACAGCCCGTGTGCCACTATTCTCAGCTATAGCCATTATTTATAATCATATTTTCAAAGGAATCCATCACCTCCAAAAGGTTAAGTCTCACTGATCCAGGGCATGATTTTTAATTTTATTTATTTATTTATTTGGCCCATTCAGCCACTCTGAGGGCAGGGCTGGCATGGCATGTGGTGCTGAGGATGAACTGCAGTCCCCTGTGCCTGCCTAAGCTTGCCTCAGCAGGCACTTTAGATTACTGAGATATCGTGCCAGCCCCGTATTTCTTTATTTTTATAATGTATTTGGTATAGGGTCTCACTATGCAGCTCGGACTCATAGTGATCCTCCTGTTTTCAGCCTCCCCATTACTGGAATTATAGGCGTGTGTCATCATGCCTGCACTTGGTGGCCGGCTCAGTGTGCCTGGGGGTGGGGTCAGTGCAGCATGTGGTGCCGGGTATTGAACCCTGGCCCCTGCACTTGCCTAAGCAGGTGCTTAATCTGCTGAGCTATCTCACTGGCCCGTGACTTTTTTTGTATATTTTTTTGCAAACAGAGAAATTGAGTCTCAGAGTTGTTGCATAATTTTCCTCAGATGATGCAGCCAACCTGCTTGGAATGGAACCAAGGACTTGCCTAGCTGAGGGGCTGGGAGAGTGAGATAAGGGATGCAGGCGAAAGGCTTCCCTGGGGCTCAGCTAGCCATCGTCAGAACTCAGCTTGGACCAACGGGCACACCAGGCTGAGGCCCTTCCTGCGTGTCCACCTCCCTCATTGCTGGGTTAGAGCTGGACCTGCACGCATCTGTTCATCCAGGAGCTGACAGTCACTCACACCATGTCCTCTCCTGGACACCTGCTCTTCCTTCCTGTGAGCTCCAGGTCTCACCCAGTCCCAGCTCCTCCTCCCCGGGCACCCAGCTCACAAGCCATGGACACACCTTTGCCTCCTCCCTTCCCTTCATCCCCAGCTGCTCCACTCGCAAATCCAGTCAGACATTTTGCCTTCAAAGTAGATGCAGAGTCCAAGCCTCTTCGCCCTCCTTCTCTGCCTGCCTGCTTCCCAAGACCCTCCTGCCTGGCACTCACTTCTTGCGGCCCCCTCGCCCACCTTCTCTTCCCTCTGATTAGCACCTAGAAGCCAGAGAGGCATTAAAAACACAGGGGTCACGCTGCACCCCACCCGAGACTGTCCTCGGACTCCCCCTCCACTCTGAATTAAAAGTTGATGCCTGTCATTGCCAGCAAGCCCACCATGCTTGCAGTCCTCATTTCTCTCTGGCACATGAACCCTTTTGTGCCATGCACACACTCACCACAGGGCCTTTGCTCCTGCTCCAATGTCTTCCTGGAATTTTCCTGCCCCGTATGTACACATGACTCTGCTTCTCCTTCTTCAGAGGGCTTTCCACGACCATCTGTGGGCACTTGGCACCTGTGTTCAATGCCTCTCTTCTCATTAAGGCACTTATGTCCAGCTTAGGTATTACACACTCAGTCCCTGCTGTCTCTCATCCCCAGTAGGGCAGGAGGTCTGTTTTCCTCACTGTTGAATCCTCGGCACCTAGATTAGTTCATGGGACATAGTAGATACTTACTAAATACTTGTTGGATGGATGGATGAATTCATGGATGGATGGACGGACTGATGAGTGAGTGAGTGGACAAATGGATGGATAGACAGATAGGTGGGTAGATGGACCATATTGTTATATTTTGCTTGCCTGTCTTTCTCACAGAACTCTAAACTCCTCAAAAAAAAAAAGGGAGTGTGTTGTATTTACCACTAGACTCTGGGGGCAGAGGGTAGGGGATGACTTTGGGCTGGGCATGTAAAAGTTGAATGAATGCATGATAAATTTTATAAATGAGGACATGGAAACCAGGCGTGGGGACTTAGCTTGCCATAGCAAGTCCTAGCAGCCACCTCCAGCCTCCCCACCCCCAGGTCTCCTGAGCTTCTTCTGGGGCTGACTTGTCTCCTCTGCCTCCATTCATTCCCTGGTCAGAGTTTTGGGAGACCTGACCATGCCATGCCCTAACTCTGGGCAGCCCTGGGAAGCCCCAGGGGTACGTGGACTTTAACCCTTAAATCCCTTGGGACTTACAACTGACATTCAGGAGCCTGAGACCCTACGTTGAAGTCCCAGCTCCTTGGTCACTTTTTGAGCCTCCATTTTGTCACCTATACAATGGGACTGATGAGAACAACACATATTTCACCAGGTGACCACGAGGTTTACATGCAATGAGCCAGTGCAGGCTTTAGAAGGGAGCTGGGTGCCTGTCTAAGAAATATTAGCTGCTATTGAAGGACAAGCATGGTCCAGCCATGGTGGCACATGCCTGGAACCCCAGCCCGCTCTGAGACTGAGGCAGGAGGATCACAAGTTTGAGTCCATCCTGGGATAACTTAGTGACTACTTAAGGAGGCCCTGTGTCAAAATTTTTAAAAAATGAATAAAGGGCTAGGAATGTAGGTCAGTGCAAAGGCCCTGATTTTAGACCCCAGCACTGAAGCCAAAAAAATAAAGAACAAAAGAAGAAAAAGCTGAGTGCCGAGCCCAAGGAGCAAAGTGTTCAATCCATTTCAAGCTTTCCTGGATGGACTCCAGCTAGCTGGAGTCTGGCCGGATGTGGTTTCGGGTTATAATGCCTCATTTAGGTTTCTGGGCACTTGGTCGGTCGGTGTGCTTTTCCCAGGTGACATTGAGCATTATCTGGAGAACAGAATTCTTTTCAAGGTCAGAAACACCCAGAAAGCCACTGGTGCAGCCAGAGAGGTGAAATCACCGGTCTCAGGGGACCCAGCTCCCCCCAGCTTCCTGGCTGGAATTACACCCCTGGGATCCTGCCAACTCATGGGAGAAGCTGATTTTAGGGTGTGTGTGCTGGGGGCGTCCTCCCTTGCCAATACACCAGATCTCACTTGTTGGCAAGCAGCCAGGCATCTCTAGTTCTGAGTAAAAACTTCCAGCAGCAGGGGCCCTGCCTGGGCTTATCTCTGCCCCTCCACTTGCAACATCCACAAATTTTACCCCTTCCATGATGTCACAACAACCTCCACCCCTAGTGTCCAGAGACCTGATGTGTCCCCAGACTCACATACCAGGGAAGGGGAGGTTGAGGCCCCTCTATTGCTTTCTACCACATTCCCTAGCTTGGTGGTTGAGCCCAATCCATCTGAACCCTGGGATTTGTGATCTTCTTGTACACATGGAGAAACTGAGGCCCAGCGCAGTCACTTAACTTGTCCCAGGTCCCACAGCTGGGAAATGGCAGAGTGGCCTGTCATCCTCCAAGCCCAGAATACCTGCCACCCTGAAAGTGCTGCCTGTGTTTCCATGGCCAGAGTGAGGCCCGAGGTCGCCAGCAGCAGCTCTGGGAAGCCATGTTGGTGCCCTGGGCTTGGTTGGCAGCTCACTGCTTCCGAGGCTGAGTGCCCGTGAGAATGCTTGCTCTGCTGGCTTTCCTTCTGGCCATCAGGGACAGAGCGGGCTATTAGCCAAGCTTCAGGCCTCAGCTGAGTCATCCAGACACCTCTGTTATCACTTTTTTTTTTTTTTTTCTGTTATCACTTGAAAAGGACTCAGCTTTAAGCCACCAGCATCCCAGTGTGGTTTGAAAGTGTTTCTCAGTAGTTCATGGGTGGGTTGTTGCCTTGTTTGTTTTTGATCTTTTTTGATTTTACTGTATTTTTTTGGTTGAATTGTTTTTTAGGGGAGGTTTATTTTTTGTTTTTGGTACCCAGGACCAAACCCAGGGCTTCCAGCTTACTAGGCAAGCATTCTACCGCTGAGCCAAATCCCCAGCCTCCATTTTTTTTTTTTTTTTTTTAGGGATTGAATTCAGGACCCTGCACTTGCCAGGCAAGCACTTATTCCACTGAACTATCTCCCCAACCCCCATGGGATGGAAACATAGCTTATACCGATGGTTTTGGGAGGTGAGATTTTGGAATATTATGAGGGTAGATGAAGTCATGAGTGTGGGTCCCCCATGATGCATGAGTGGCCTTACAGGAAGAGGAAGAGGGACCCGAGCTGGCATGCTTGCTCAGTCTCACCAGGTGATCCCTGTGTCAGGCGAGGCCCTTGCCAGGTGCTGAGCAGGGCCTAGTTCTGTGCTTTTGGACTTTGTACCTCCAGAACCACAAGCAGACACACTTCTATCCTGAATAAATTACCCAACCTTGGCTGTTCTATTATAGATTAGGTCAATGCAAAAAAATTGAAATAAAACAAGGACAAGGATAACCCAATCACATATACACATTCTCAGTAGGCTCTTGCTGTGGACTACAAATTCATACTGTGAAATTCTAATGCCCACATGATGATATTGGGAGGTGGGGCCTTTGGGGTCTGCCTGTAGGGAACCCCAACAAAGACAGATAGAACAGGTGTACCTACAGCAACATGAACCAATCCTAAAAGCGTGATGCCTAGTACCCACACTAGGAAGCAGGGTGCAATACACAAAACAATGCCATTCATATCAGTGAAAAATGCATGTATGTACAGTAAACCAGTTTTGCAAGAGTACCCCAAACACATTGCACATCAATTACAGTGGTGCATGCCTGTAATCTCAGTTACTCGGAAGGTTGAGACAGGAGGATCACAGGTTTGAGAGTGACTCTACCTCAAAAAAAAGAAGAAAGAAAGAAAGAAAGAAAGAAAGAAAGAAAGAAAGAAAGAAAGAAAGAATTGGCAAAGGTCCAGGGTTCAATCACCAGGGCTTCAGAAATAAAAACCAATGTTATACATCAAAAAATAATAATGGTTACTGACTAGGAGAAGTTAGCTAGTGGGCAGGGTGGCTGCTGGAAACCAGCATGTGTGTGTGTGGCGGGGGGTAGAAGCAGGCTTTTTTGCAAAGAGGAGGGCTTCTGGGCAGAGAATGAATGAATGGTGAATGAATGAATGAAATACGAGGGGTCTTGCACAGACCCCTGATGATGCTGTGCTGTGCAGGAGGAGAAGGAGGAGGAGGAGGAGGAGGAGGAGGAGGAGGAGGAGGAGGAGGAGGAGGAGGAGGAGGAGGAGGAGGAGGAAGAGGAGGAGGCATCCAAGAGTGTGAACAGTTTCTTGGGCTTGGAAGTTCTTCTTCCAGAATATGTGAGACCCCCGCCTTGCTGTAGCTGTTGGCTCCTTCCTGGCATTGCCAGGCAGATGGGGGCTGGCCCTGGCTGGGGGCATCTTGTTCCACCTTCTCCACCACTAATCTTGCCCTTGGCCCCCAGGTCCTGGCACTCATGGTGGGCGGCGTGTGGGCAGCCCTGGGGCTCTCCTTGACTGGCCTCTTGGCCCTCAGCCTCATCTCCCCTGCCTGGCTCCAGACGTCCACCTTTTCCTTCGGTGTCCTCACCTACTGCTCCTGGCCTCCAGGTGACAGTTGGAACCAGAGCTGCACGACCTTCTGGTCCCTGGAGGATATGCCTGATGCTACCTGGAGGGTGAGAGCTGTGCCCTTCAGGCCACTGGCCCTCAGGGACAGAGATGCCGGCTCCCTAGGGTGGGACTTGGGGGTCCTTTCCTGCTCTTCGGTGCCCCGGTGCCTATGGACGAGCCCTTAGTCTCCTTAGACCCAAGCACATGGCTTTGGAAACACCTGCAGAACTTTGCAAATGCCAAGTTCAAGCTCCACCCAGACTCCTGGCTCTGCAGATGTGGGTGGGGCCTGACTATGTGTATTTTAACTATCAGCCAGTGATTCCACAAGGCAGCAGGCAAACCTTGTAGTAACTTTGTAGGAATTCAGAGAAAGCATCTCTTCTTCCAGACACCACACTGCCACCTGCTGGAAAATCCCTGTAATCGACGTGCAAATCTATGATTCCCTCCCTGACCACCTGAAAGCGCGTGTAGGTTTGAAAATGAAAGCTAAGGTGTTAAAACGGCCTTACAATGCAAAACTAACAATAGGGGGGATCAACAGTGGGGTGTAGTCCAGCACCTCTGAGGAGGATTAGACAGCTTTTCAAAGCCCATCACAAAGGTGATGTCACCGCACCACCAGCTGTTCTCCTGGTGCTGGGGACACTTAGCGGTTATCTAGTGAAGGTGCGCACAGTACCCAGACATCTGGATCTTTATTTTGGCTCTAGCGTTTAATTAGCTGTATGTCTGGAGGCAAACGACTGCAACTGGGGGTGCTACCGAACTCCGCCGGGCAGTGGGCACAGGCAGGAACACTCCCCCCACCTCCCCTCCTCCTGTCCCCAGCAGGTCTCCGCTTCCATGCTCCTGGGAGGCTGGCTCCTGTTGGCCTCCAGCGCAGTCCTCCTCCTGTCCTGGGCCTTCGGCCCCAGAGGGCTGTGTCCAAGGAGGGGCAGCGGCCTAGCGCCGGGGATGCAGGCGGCAGCGGGTAAGTGCTCTGGACACATCCGCTGAGTGGATGAGTGGATGAACAGATGAATGAAGGTGTGAACAGAGTCGGGGCCCCCTCATCACATCTCAGAGATAAACCTAGGACCGCAGAGTATCCAGAAGTTGGGGGAAGGGACATGGCATCTGCACTACTTGTCTGTACCCCTCAGTTGCTGGTCCATCCACCTTTGTGCCGTCTTTACCAGACCATCCTACACAGTCGGGTCAGTTGTACACTGCACAAGCACACCCGGCCAAGAGCCACAAGAATGCTGACAGCAAACCCCTTCGCGCAAGGCTGCCCCTGCTGAGGAGGGCCGCCCTTCTCTAATTTACCAAGGGCCTCAGCAGGCACCAGCCCAAGCCAGGACTGTAACCCCATGCCATGAATTCTGCACCACCGCTCACCTCTAACCCTCTCTGAGTTGTGTCCCCCCTCCCCCGGCATCTGTGTGCCTCCCACCGGACAAACAGGTCCTGCGGAAATGAAATCAGATCGCTGGGCCAACCAGCTTCCCCACCCTGAGGGGTTCTACAGCAGAGTGAAATCCACACTCCTTACCCTGGCCTCTGAGGCGCCCTGACTCAGCCCCATCCTCAGCAGCCTCTCTCAGACCTTTTCCAGGCTGGCCCACCCTGGCTACACCAGCTGGCTATCTCAGCGGCAGTTCCTTCCTGCAGATCCCTATGCCCACTCCCCTCCGCTGAAAGGCTCTGCCTCCATGAGGGCTGTCCGCCGGGGGAAAAGAGGGTTGTCTGTCCGAGCTTCCCTCCTTCACCTGCCCTCCTTGCCTCACAGGCACCCATTCACTCCCCGAGAGAGCACCTTGGCTCCTCCTCCATCCCCTCACCTTTCCCCACACACCAGGCCAGCTGGGGGCCGGTGGTGGGTGGTGGCAGGGACATGGATGTCTGTGCCATAGCTGCAGCACCCAGCTCAGCGCTACACAGATGCCCCCAGATATTTGTTCAATCGCTGGATGAAGATGCAGTCCTTGTCCTGGGCTGGCTCCCAGCATCGGGGCAGGGGCCAGTGCGGCATCCCTTTGTTACAATACATCTTAGTCTGCTTTGCCTTACTATAGTGAAACAGCTGAGGCTGGATAGGAAGAAGAGAGGTCTGTTTAACTCGTGGCTCTGGGTAGGAGAAGTGTCTGGTGTTTTGTTCTGTGGTCCTGGCAATTGAACCCAGCCTTCCTGCTGAGTTATATTCCCAGACATCTCATATATAGAATTTTTTCTTTTTAATTTTGAGACAGGGTTGCCCTAAGTTGCTGAATTCCTCAGCAATTGCCTAGTTGACAGCTTGAACTTGTAAGCCTCCTGCCTTGGCCTCCGAAGAATTCTGGGATCATGCGCACAGGCCCCCACATCCCTCTGGTGAAGCCTTGGGCGCGCAGAGCCTCAGGCCAGTGCAGGGCAACACACGGCGAGGGACAAGCGAGTGCGTGCAAACTGTATCTGCCCATCTCTTGCTCCTCTTACAAAGCCGCCAGGGTTCGCTGTAGGGCCCTGGCCTTAGGACCTTGTCTACCCAGTGTCCTCCGGCTCTCTCAGGACCTCGTTCTGGGGATCAGGTGTCAGTGCCTGGGCCCCTGGGACCACATTCAGCCACAGGACAGCGCACTGGATATTTGCGCTTACAGGGGTGACTACAGGACCCCATGTGCCAGGCATTGAGGCACATTTCTTGGAGGGGGCACCACTCCAGGCAGCTCTAGCAGAAAACACTGCAGCACTGGGACCTTCAGGGGCAGAGGTGGAGGGCAGAGTGCCTGGCATGGAGGTGGCGGCAGGTGGCCTGTGTGACCGGGGCTCTGCAGTGGGAGTGCCCAGAGGCAGGGGTGGAGGCTTTTCTTTAGTATCACTGGTGGCCAGCACAGCACCCTCAACTGGTGGAGTTTTATTTTTCAGGCTTGGAAGTTGAACCGAGGAACGCTCTGCCACTGAGATACACTCCCAGTGCTTCTTGTGCTTTTGGCTTGTCATTTTTTGTGTATCTGCCATACCTGTACTTTGTTTTGCCTGGTATGGGGGTGTTCGCCTTTAGTCTCAACTCTCTGGGAGGCTGGGGCAGGAAGATTAAACGTCTGAAGAGTGGGCAACTTAGTGACTTAACTGAAACCCTGTTGCAAAGTAAAAAATGTAGCTTGGCTGGTGAGATGGCTCAGTGGTCTAAAGCACCTACTTAGAACAAGCTAAGCAAAGCACAGAGACCGCAGTTCAATCCCCCAGCACCACATGCCAGCCAGCCCTGCCCCCTGGTGGGCTGAGCTGGCCACACACACACACACATACACACACACAGAGTTTCTGTGAATGACAACATGGGAATATTTTAACAAATCTTTAACATGATAAATTACATGTAAATAAATTTGCCTGAACAATTTTAAGGGTACCATCCAGGGGTGTCCAATGTATTCATGTAGGACACCCCTGGATGGTACCCTTAAATGCATGTGACCATCATCACTATCTACAGAACTCGTTTCACTTGTAACCCTGAACCTCTGTAGACTGGACACAGCGACTCCCAATCCCTCTCTCCCCTTCGCCCCTGGCAACCACCATTTCTGCTGTCACGGTGGATCTGACAATTCTACTTCCAGTGAGTGGAGTCAAATAACATTTGTGTGCTCTGGCCACCAGCCTATGTCAGTGAGCATAACGTCTTCAAGGTTCAGCCAGGTTCCGACATGGGTCAGAATTTCCTTATGTTCCCAAAGCTGTCTACAGATCCCAAAACAACATGCTACATATGATAAATATAGACACTTCGGCCAATTTGAAAATAATAAAACTATCCCATTGAATGTCTGCACTGTATTTTTCTTCTCTAGTCATCTGTTGATGGACTTCTGGGTTGCTTCCATATTTTAGCTACTGTAGTACATGCTGGTTGGTCATGGGTGAGCCTGGTCTTAATTCCTTGGGGATAAATTCTTTGGTTTATCTTTTGAGGAACTTTCTACAGCAGAGGTACCATTTTATATAACAACTAACTGCACCAGTGCTCCGATCTCTTCCCATCCTCGCCAGCGGTTTGTTGCTGTTGCTGGCAGCAGCCACCCATCCGGTAGATGAGGATGCTCCATTGTCATTTGGATTTCCATTTCTCTAGTGACCAGACATGTACCTCTTATCAATGTTTTCTTCTTCTTAATACTGGAGTTTGAACCCAAGGTTTCTACACCCACTGAGCTGCACCTCTAGGCCTAAAAACTTTTTTGTTTTGAGAGAGGGCCACTCCTAGTTACTCAATTACGCAGGCCGGGCTTAAACTTGCAATCCTCCTGGTTCAGCCTCCCAGAGCTCTGGGATTACAGATGTGTGCCACCATACCTGGCTGCCTCTAACAGTTTTTTGTTGTTGTTTTGGTTTTTTTGAGACAGGGTCCTACTATGTAGTTTAGGCTAGACTTGAACAAACTATTTTTTTTTTTAACTCACTGTGGAGCCCAGGCTGGTCTCAAGCTTATGGTGATCCTTCTTCGTCTAACAGTTTGTAGAAGTTGTTGGTTTTTTTTTTTTTTTTAGACAGGATTTCACTATGTAGTTGAGGCTGGCCTTGAACTCACTATACTATTTTATTTTGTTTTAAAACTTACTGTGGTGCCCAGGCTGACCTCAAACTTACAGTGATCCATCTGCCTTAGTCCCTGGAGTGCTGGGACTATAGGCATGTGCCACCGTGCCTGGCTATCTAACAGTTCTGATGAGTGAATGCATGGGTGCATAGGTGAGCTGGTGAGCGCATGAGTGTGAGGGTGAGTAAATTCATTGAATGATGGCTATAATACTGGATGGACAGATGGTTGGGTGCATGGATGCATAGAGAAAGTGGATAGACTGCGGTATGGTTGATGGGGGACAGGGATGGATGCGTGGGTGGGAGGAGACGGCTTAAGTGTGCAGATGGATAGAGCGATAGATGGGTCAGTGGATAGTTGGTAGAGCAATGAAAATAACAAGTTAGGGGCCAGCCAAATAGCTCGGCGGATTAAAGTGCCTGCATGCAGGCACAGGGGACAGGGGTTTGATCCCCAGGCCTGCTGTGCCGGGTCTGCCCCCAGGGCACACTGAGATGGCAACTGAGACTGGGCATGGTGATGAGTACCTGTAATCCCAGCTCTTGGGAGGCTGTAAACAAGCGGATCACTATGAGTCTGATCTAGTAGTGAGACCCTGAACACTCTGTAGACCCTCCCCTAAAATACAAAAAAAAGAAAATAAAAAAGAAAACAAGCTGATAAGGATGTGGCTGCTACATGAATGAATGTGCAGGAGAGTGGCCAGCAGCGTGGCTGAGTCCTGGGATGAGATCAGCCCGGCGCCCCTTGGCTACACACTGACTTCTCTCTTTGTCCCCAGCCATCATCACTACTGTCGGCCTTCTGGTTTTCCCAGTTAGCCTGGCCTCCCCATTTGCCAAAGAAGCCTGCAAGAGCTCCTCCGTGTACCACAGAGGTCAGTGCCAGCTTGGCTGGGGCTATGTGACTGCCATCCTCCATACCATCCTGGCTGGCCTCCTGTCTCTCATTGGGTGGCCCCGCATGACCAAGGTCCAGGGGAGAGCCATATTCTTCTCCAGTGACACCGAGAGAATCATCCTCATGCCGGAAACCATCAAATAAAAACCTCCCAGGAAGAAAGAACTAAAAGAGCCCGTTCTGAAGAAACTGTTGTAGGTAGATGCATCAGGAAAGATCGGAGCCATGGAAGCCCTTCTTCCCCCACTGCTTGGAATATGTGCTTAGTGCCAAAGAGTTTCACCTTGCCTCTTTCTACACCCAAACCTGGCTTGAGCACACCTCCCTTGGAAATAGTTAAAATTATCTCTAACAGTCTGTCCCTTTGGAGGGAACAGTTACATGTGGCTGTCAAAACAACAGTTTTAGCTATCAGCTGCGGCTATCAAACACCTGCAACTATCAAAACAATAATGAAAAGCCTGCACTGCTGGCTAATTATTCTAATTAGATAAACCATTGGCCTAGGGACTGTCTTAAAAACTATCTTTGCTTTTGCAGGTGTAACAGGCTTTATTCCTTCTGATTATTATTACATGACATCTCTGCTCATTGAGCTATAACAAGTTCAGACTAGTGTATTTATAGTTATAAGCCTAAAAACTATAAAAAGGTTATTGCAATTCACCTTGTCCAAATACATCTGAGTGTACTCTGGTCTATTACCAATTGTCTTATGTGTGCCTGTCTATCTGTTCAATTTGTGACTGGTTGCAAAATCTACAGCTGTTTTGTTTGAGATTAACAATTTTTTCACTTTTTCTTCTTTTTGCCTTTTTGGATTTTTAAAATATTTATGCCTACGATTTCAATTGGCTTATAGATAAGAGTCATTATAGTTAAGGACATGCTTCCATCCAAATTGCCAGCTGGTCAAAATGATGTCAAGAATGGTGTTACAGCTGGGTGTGCTGGTGCCCACCTTTAATCTCAGCACTTGGGAGACTGAGGCAGGAGGAGTTCCATGAGTCTGAAGCTAAATTGGGCTACACAGCTTGTTTAAGGCCAGCCTGAACTATAGAGAAAGATCCTTTCTCAAAAAAAAAAAAAAGAAAAGAAAAGAAAAAAGAAAAAGGAATGGTTTTACAAATGCAATGCATATACAATAACTTGAGAGTCTTTCATTGGTCAAGAATAATAAGTTAATTGTTATGCTCTTGTTCTCTTATGTCACTTGAAAAAATTTGTTAAGATAATTAAATGGAGGCTCCTAGAGTTGGGGAAACTCCTGGACTGGATACCTTTTGGCAAATAAAGGAGAAAGGAGTAGCTGCCTGGAAATACTTATTTCAGTCTTTGTTCATTAATGGGACCCCAATAATTTCCATAGACTTATGGGAGACACACCCCAATAAACATTAAAAGATGCTCTTAGTACAAAACTAAGAGACAAAAGTTTCTGTATAGTCGCTGTGACACTCATTATTGCTAATCTCATGGTATACTAAATGTGCTCATGTCTTCTAAGATGTAAAAGTAGGATTTTCAGGGTGATAACCTTTCCTTTCAGACTCAGATGTCTGATTTTGTCTTCTACTCCAGCTATTTGCATTAAGAGGCACATACAAAGCCAGCACGAGGTCACCAGTCATGTGATAATCTTTTTTAAAGCCTGGTGATGTGTATGTTATATACATATCGCTATACTTAGAGATGCTCAGGCCATGGAAGGACCAGACCATATCACAAGCTTGCTCAATGATATCCTATTAAAGGATAACAAATTAGGTGAGAGCTTCTTTGTGTGCTAGATAGAGATGATCGACTAAAAAGGCTATTTTATACTGCAATGTGTTTCAAAGACGATTGTCATGTTGGAATATTATGTGTGGCTCTGGTTCTCAAATTGTTTCTATAAAACTGTAATTGTTGTCTGGTAACATTCATGCATGGTGGTGCATGCTTGTAATCGTAATACTCAGGAGGCTGAGGCAGGAGGATCTCTGAGTTTGGGGCCAACCTGGGTTACATAGTGAGTTCAAGGCTAGCCTGAACTGCATACAGAGACCTAATGTCAAAAATAAAAAATAAAAAACAGATAAAAATTCTGTAGGGATTCAACTTCTTCTTTTTATTTATTTTTTTTTTTTTTTGTATTTTTAGGGAAGGTCTACAGGTGTTCAGGGTCTCACTACTAGATCAGTCTCATAGTGATCTGCCTGTTTACAGCCTCCTAAGAGCTGGGATTACAGGCGTGCCCCACCACGCCCAGTCTCAGCTGCCATCTCTGAGTGTCCTGGGGGAGGGGTCAGCAAGGCAGGCCCAGGGATTGAATCCCCGGCCCCTGTGCCTGTTGACTTTTACTTTTAAAATGAGATATTAGTACTCAGTAAACCAAACAGCATAAATAAATAAAAGTAATGTGCAGCTGAATGATCAGATGGATTTAACTTCTAAAACAACTATAATTGGTGAGAAATAAAATTATTCTGGCTGTACTTTGTATTTCAAAGTGCTTGATATGAAGACTAGATTATAATAGTTTTAAGCTTGCTGCTCCCTCTACAGTACTTTTTTTTTTTTTTTTTTTTTGTATTTTAGGAAAGGGCCTAGAGGGTGTTCAGGGTCTCACCACTAGAACCCACTCGTTGTGATCTGCCTGTTTACAGCCTCCCAAGAGCTAGGATTACAGGCGTGTGCCACCATGCCCAGTCTCAATTGACCTCTCAGTGTGCCCTGGGGGCAGGGCCAGCATGGCAGACCTGGGGATCAAACCCCTGGCCTCTGCCCCTGCTTGCAGGCATTTTAATCCTCTGGGCTATTTGGCTGGCCCTCCCTTTACAATATTGATGCAACTAGTTTTCTCTCCTTGGTGTTCAACATCTGAAGTTTGGAGACCGGAACTAGAAAGGTAATTAGACTGAGAGGGCAGCAATATTTTGGCCCAGGCCCTCTAAGATCAGTGAGGGCCCAGGGCATGAGGAAATTTTTTCTACAAATCCTACAACTTTGGTAAAACATTCAACCTCCTGAGCAGGGATATTGTTGGACCTCAGAGGACAGAAATCAACAAATGTACAGTGTGCCACAAGAGGGTCACCACAGGGGGAAAAGTCTCTTTCATAGAAAGCGACATAGTCAAGCAAGATTGTGATGGACTAAATTCTGACTGTCACCCTGGCAGCTGACAGTCACAGAGGAGCTGAGAGGCGCAGTGCGTGGTTCCAAAAAGTGATGCCTGTGGAGACTTACCTGACCCTGTTAGACAGCCAGAGGTTAATTTTGACAAATGCAGGTCTTGCTTTAACATGATCTTAAATACTCAGCAAAGTATAATCAAAAGATAAATAAAAATAATGCCACAGTGGGCCAGGGATATAGCTCAGAGGCACAGTGCCTGCCTGGTAAGCACATGGTCCTGAGTTCAATTCCTAGTATCAAAAATTAATACCAATAACATAATAATAAAATCTAGGTTTAAAAGGGGGTACAAACACTTACCTCTACTGACAGTTCTAAGGGACAGCTAGTTATAATTGCTATTCCAACGCTTTACTTTTATTTATTTATTTTTATGTACTTAGTACAGGGTCTACAGGGTGTCACTACACAGATTGGACTTGTAGTGATCCTTCCTGTTTTTCAGCCTCCCAAACACTGTCCAACCCTTTATTTTTAAAAATTTATTTATTTATTTATTTATTTTTTTAAGCTTTGGATTTTTTTTTTTTTTTTTTTTTTTTGTGGTAACAGGGATCAAACTCAGGACCTTGGGCTTGCCAGGGAAGCACTTATTCCACTGAGCTATCTCTCCCAGGCCCCCCAACCCTTTAAAAACAGTGTCTGATGTGGCTTCTTCCCCAGTCTGCCTTTCCACTTTATTTACTCATGATTTGGTCACATCTGCTTTACTTTCTTGGAAAATTTGTTTATCCTTGTCTAGGGGCAGCCAAACTCCAAGTGATCATGCAGGTGGAACACAATTCTAACTGCCAAAGTGCAACATGACTTCTTGCCAAGGGCCATTACACTAACTCTCTGGAGAAGGCACCCAACTGTGGCCTCCCCTACGCTGAGCCTTCTCGCTCAAGGCAGCTAGATGAAAACTATGCCCCTTCTCCCCTGATTGCAGTTAGGGGTCCCTCTTCAGTGACGGGAATATTGTAGACAGGTAAATCAAGCAGAGCTGTCATAAGTAGTCAGACAGGGCTGGGGCCTTCGAGGGCGTCAATGGACACAATAAGAGCATATTTGAAGAAGGTTACAGTCACAACAGTCAGATTGACCTAATTCCTGAAGGGATAAATGGAAGCCTGAGTTTATTGGTATCACTTTTTGAGATTTTTTAAAATATAAAATAAACCATTATCTCATTAGGGGTGGTCCATTCTCGCCCACTCACTAAGGCTAAGACTAAGGCTAAAAGGACTAAATTCTGACTAGTAAGACTAGCCGTAAAGACAAGACTAAGACTATAGATTATTGGCCAAGGTTGATGATGTCATCCACATGCCCCTGTTACTATTGGATCAATATTAGTCAGGCGGCTATACTCATAATCTTATTGGTTGATTATAATCTGACCCATGTTGGACCCACCCCTCATGACTTTGGTCTATAAAACTTTTTTAGTGAAGTGGTGTCACTGGCAACCCCTTTGGGACCCATACTATTTCTAAGAAGCTATTCTTATTCCCCAATAAAAATGTCCTCCTTTAAAAAAAATAATAAAAGAACCCACTCTATAGTTATATGAAATCACCACATACTCAAGTTCAAATTCCAGCTTTGCTGTTTCCTTGCTGTCTGGACTCAGGCAAAGTTCACCTCTGTTTCCATTTATTCTTCTATAAAATGGAGACAGAAATAATGCCTACCTCATACAGTTGTTATGAGAATTACCTTTAGTCTTTATAGATAGAGCACTGTGTGCCATGTCTGCTCAAAGAGTTCAATAAGTGCTAGCCACTGTTATAATTTCTGTCTCAGGGGACTGTGCTGAGAAGGAAATGTACTTGTGGAAACTTCCAGGGCGGTTGTGAGTACACGGTTCACCCAAACACTAAAATTTGTCATGGGTGTATGTACGCTTGTCCTCTCTTCCTTGCCTTCTTATGATTCTCCCGTCTTGGAGAATTTCAGCATTTTTCTTTTCCCTGTTGGATAGTTAGTGAGTGCTTATTCTGTACAAGGCTGTGTGCTCTGTTGGGGCAGAGGGTGGGAGAGGTGAGGACGAGTCTTTCCCTCTACCGTCTGTCTGATGTCTCTGTTCAGCCTCTCTTGCCACCCACTCTGTCCTTGTTTGGGGCCTCCATCCTCTACAGACTGTGCTGGATGTTGGGAGGATGCTGTCTATCATGACCCACTACTGTTTCCAGAAGCAGTGCCTTCATCTTCCCCTGGGAAATGATCCTCGGATAATCTCTAGCTACCCTGGGTTTTAGGATTGACAGATGATCCCCTCTGCCAATCAAACTGTCACAGTGGTTGGCTCTGAGAGGGACATGGGACCTGGGAGAGCCGGCATGGGGGATCACAGAAGCAGGAGGCAGAGGGAGGTGGAGGATTCACCTGAACATCTGGGCCCATGCCCACCATGCTCACGTAGAAGTCACAGGTAGCCCTAGGCACGCATCCCCTGAGCTTGGCTGCCTGGAGGAAAAAGTGAACTTCTTTCCTTCCTGCTTTGGCATAGAGAAATCCCAGGGAAGGAGTCTGATTGTCCAGCACTGGGTCATGAGCCCATGGTAGGGAGGAAGATGTCCGCTATCTCACTCAGAAAGTGATAGTAGGGAGGATGCTGTACTAGCACGGGAAAGGTGGCGAGCGCGAAACACATGTGTTGACTGTGTCTTAGAGCTACTGGGGATTATACCCGCAGCCTTCACGCCAAGCTTCATTCCCAGCCCATTTATTTATGTGCTGAGACAGATGTGTTGCTGAGGCACTAAATTGCTCAGGCTGGGCTCCAGTTTACCATCCTTGTGCCTCAGCCTCCCGGAGTGCTGGGATTACAGATGCCAGCTTTCTCAGAGGGTCAGCTCTCTTTAAGCAATGCTTTGTTACAGTCCTTTTCTCAGAGGTGGAAATTGAGCTT